GTCAACGTATTATGAACAATGTAATGAGATATTGGAGGCAAGATGTGTCATCAGGACCTGAATATATATGTGCAGTTTGTCACAAACTCCTTTTTCGAAAGCAGGTTGTAAAGTGTAAAGAAAGTAAATACAAAAGTGTTGATTGCATATCTCATAAGTATCTGCATAAGTGTGCCAACAATGAAAGTTGTGGTGATAAGTGTCGTGTGGCAGAATCAAGTAGATCAAGTTTGTGGATTTGTTATACATGTCACAGGAAATTGCTTCAGAACAGGATCCCAGCAGAAGCTTGTGCAAACAATTTGGCATTGGAAGATATCCCAGAGGAATTGAGTTGTTTAAATATATTGGAGGAGCATCTGATTGCAATCAATGTGGCATTTATGAAGATGATGGCTTTACCCAGAGGTGGACAGAATGCAGCGCATGGCACAGTTGTTTGTGTACCTTCAAATATTTCGCAAACCGTAACAGCATTGCCTAGATGTTCTAATGATAATGAGTTAATCAGGGTTAAGTTCAAGAGGAAATTGTCATTCAAAGGATATTACCAGTACCAATTTGTAAGTAGAGAACGTGTTCAGCGTGCACTCCAGTGTCTTAAGGAGCATTATGTGTGGTACAAGGACATTGAGATAAACTGTGAGTGGGACAATCCCCTGGAAGATGAAAGTGATAGCCAAGAAGAGCATGAATCTGATAATTCAAGTGAAAGTGATGAAGACATAGATGTGGACACAGATGAAGAACGTTTGACAGGTATTGTTCACGATACATGTTTGCAGCCAGTGAACATTGCTCAAGATGCTTTGGATCAATATTTGATGATGTCATGTGTGTTGCACCTTGTGAAGGAAATAGCCCAGTCAGAGTATTAATGGAAGAAGGTAATGAGGCCAAATGTTTCCCAACATTATTTCCAACAGGCGGCCCTATTTTCAGTGATGATCGTGATGTAAAGTTACGTCTCTGCAGATATTTTCATATTGGGTTAATGAATGCAAATAATAGATTTGCAAAGTGTACTCAGTATATCTTCTATGCTCAATACCTGTCAGAAATACAACAAGTAATGTCAAAAGTCTCAATAGCAATGCGTCAGAGCTCATCAGGCAGTATACACAGTGCTGAAAGTGTAAATGCTAGCATGATTAACGATAGAGATCAACTGAGAGATATTTTACAGTCTGACAGTGGTTACAGGTTCTTGAAACCAATCAGAGGTACACCCCCATACTGGCAGGCAGCTCAGAAAGATGTCATGGCTATGATTAGGCAACTTGGAATACCAACATGGTTTTGCTCATTTTCAGCAGCTGATATGAGATGGCCTGAAATCATAAACACGATATTGAGACAACAAGGTGATCCTAAAGATATTGAAGATTTGGATTGGAATGAGAAATGTAAAATATTGCGAAGTAACCCTGTGACTGCAGCTAGAATGTTTGACAAAAGATTCCATTCATTTTTGAAAGATGTCATTATGTCGAGAGCTCAGTCTATTGGCAAAGTGAACGATTATTTTTATAGAGTTGAATTTCAGCAAAGAGGAAGTCCACATACCCATTGCTTATTTTGGATTGAGAATGTTCCAAGATTGGGATATGATAGTGATTTAGAAGTTATTCAATTCATTGATTCATATATCAGCTGCAAATTGCCATCCAAGGACGAGGATTCAGAGCTGAATGACATTGTGAGTCACGTGCAGCTACATAGCAAGAAGCATTCTAAGTCATGTAAAAAGAAAGGAACTGAGTGTAGATTTAATTTTCCAAGACCACCATCCAGTAGAACCTTCATTACTGAGCCAGATCCAATGGATAATGATGATGAGCATGATGATAATTATGTTGATCATGATCAGGCGCGGATCCAGGGGTGGGCCGCGGGGGCACGTGCCCCCCCCCCCCCTCCCCCCCCCCCCCCTGTCAAATTGAGTCAAAAAAAAAAACAGGGGGGAAAAGAGGGGGAGGTGAGAGAAATGGAAGCAAGGAGGAAGGCAACCTTCTAACAAAAATACCGGCGCCGATATTAAACATCAGCGGCCTGCAAACATTGTGTGGCCGTATGACACAGGGAACTCGAGAAGCTTCGAAATAAACCGCGATCCCACCGTACGTACTCCATACGTAACCTTGCATAGTATATCGGTTTATGATATGCGATTCTGAGCGTACATGTGTATGTACCCGTACGAAAAACACGCACGTGTACGTGTGACAGCCGTTATAGTGTGCTCTTTGGACCACACTATTGGTCATAGGGGCCAGCATTTCTTCCACGCGCTTTCAAGGATCGAGTCCAAAACATGTCCGCTTCCGTAGAAAATTTCCGTAGAAAATCTTATCTTGTTGATAAACTGAAAATTTAACTTTATACAAAACATTATCAAAGCAAGAAGCACTCAATTTATAAAGGTCATTGAATGAACAGCAGAGACAAGTGTTTAATAAGATTCGTAACTGGTGCTTGAAGAAGGTCAATGGCAAAAATCCTGAACCATTTCATGTATTTGTGACAGGTGGAGCTGGAACAGGAAAAAGCCACTTGATAAAGTCAGTTCATTATGAAGCAACAGGACTGTTTGCTAGAATGGTTCAAAATCCTGAGAACATGTCAGTTTTGATAGTTGCGCCTACAGGAGTTGCTGCATTTAATGTCAATGGTAGTACAATTCACAGTGCTCTTTCAATCCCTGTTGATGCGAGATTGCCATACCAACCACTTGGAGAAGAGAAATTGAATACGCTGAGGAATGTGTTACAAGATCTTCAAATTTTGATTATAGATGAAATATCGATGGTTGATCATAAGATTCTGTGCTACATACATGGACGTTTGCGTCAGTTGAAACAAACACTAATCATAATCTTTTTGGTGATATCAGTATTTTAGCTGTTGGAGATTTTTATCAACTACCTCCAGTCAAAGGAAAAGCATTGTATCAGAGAGCACTCCCAGTAGATCTATGGAATGATATTTTCCAGAAAGTAGAACTTAATGAAATCATGCGACAAAAAGATGATGTACAGTTTGCAAAAGCACTGAATAGGTTGCGAGTGTAACAAACAAGTCGATGAATACAATACACAAACACTCTTTGCAACGTGTACTGATTGTATATTGATTATTGCTAAGGATTTACAGAAAGATGCTAGTAAAGGTAGTCAGAATGGAAGGGTAAAAGTTCCTAAGAAATCAACATACACAAGCTTGCCTGAATCATTGTGGTTAGGTGTTGGTGCTAGAGTAATGTTAACTAAGAACATTGATGTATCAGATGGACTTGTGAATGGAGTATTTGGCACTGTACGTGAAATTATTATGTTGCCGGATAAATCTTGGCCGAAGTGCATTGAAGTTCAGTTTCATAATAAGGATGTTGGATTGAAGTTAAAAAGAAAATACAAATCGTCAAATAAAAAAAAAAAACAGTTCCAATTCAAAAGGAAGAAGAAAATGTCAGTAAGCAGTGTGTTCGACAGCAGTTTCCCTTAAAATTAGCCTGGGCAGCACAGTTCACAAAGTGCAAGGAATGACAACAGATAGAGCAGTTGTTTCACTTGAACGTACATTTTCAGCTGGACAAGCTTATGTTGCACTGAGTAGAGTCACATCAATGCATGGACTTGTTATTCAAGGGTTTGATGAAAAATATATCTACTGTAACAAGGCAGTTTCGGAATCATTGAAAAGTATGCCAGAATTTACTGATGCTGAAGAATGCATAAAAGAGGTGAAATTAAACAAGACTGTAATCATGATGCATAACATTCAAGGATTAAAAGAACATCAAATGGACCTTAAATGTAATAATGAAATGATCAAATCTGATTTCATTTGTCTTACTGAAACATGGATCGATGATGAGGAATACTCTGATTTAGAATTACCTGAATTCAAATGCTATCATCAGATCAGAAGTGCGTCATATGATAACTCAAGTACAGTTACACAAATGTTGAAGCAGCAATGTCATGGAGGTGTAGCAGTATTTGGTAGAAGGAACAAAACATTTAGCAGACTGACTCTTCCTGTGCAGAATCTAGAGCATATTGCATTTCAGGTAATAAGTCAGATGTCATATTCTGTGGCAGTAATATATCGTCCAGCTTCATATTCAATGGATGAATTTCTTGGCTATCTTAAAATTCTGTTGAGTGAACTTCATAAAGTTTCCAATAGATGCATTGTGATGGGTGATTTTAATGAAAACATTCTGAAACACTGTTCACGGATTGAAAAGTTAATGCAAGATAATGGTTATAGACAGTGTGTTCATGATGAAACTACAGAAAATGGCACATTGATTGACCACGTATACATCAGAAATATGGATACGGTAGATGCTGCAGTGATTCCAACATACTACAGTTATCATGAAGCAGTTTCCATAAGAATATAAATTTAATATTTTTATTGAGGACATTCTGAAACCTATAACATTGAAACTGTCAATGTGAAGTACACTAGTGTACACGTACACTGTATTTCTCAGTTCCGTGATGTTGGGATCATTTTGGACATTATAGAAATTTCTGATCAAGTGAATTTTTATTCTCATGAAATGTATGAATTTGTTTTCATCATGTTTAACCTGAACCGTGAAGGCCCTTTTAAAATAGCTTGGTTGCATCCTCAAATTGTTCAAAATATTCTAATTGCCACAGAGTACAAATTGAATACAGCGTCAGTCTGCCTAAATAATTTTTTTGTGCATGACATTTGTTCACGGAGGGATGATCACTGGCTAAATATCCTTCATTTGTATACCGGTACATACAAGTTTTTCTATTAAATGTAATATTGTTAAATAATGTTGTTGTTATGTGAACATGGTGAAGCTGACCTTTCAAACTAACATACAATTGACTAATTTTAAGTAGTCATGAAATTATGATGGATTTTTTTTGGGTAAATCATGTTCATTTTTCAAGTTGTATACTCAAAAGACGTACACTCGAATTCATTAACAATAGCACTGTTGTAAGGTTCCTGTTATAACAAGAAAAATTGTTGGTCCCAACTCTTATGTTTTCTTTGTTTTCAACTCCTGACAATACAAGGTTCCCGTTATAACGAGGGAATTTGTAAAGTCCCAAGGACCTCTTATTAATGAGAGTGGACTGTACACAAGGTGCAAGATGGAATTATGTCATTCATGGTAAGTAAACAATGTAAAAATAGTACAGTGAAACATTGACACCGAGATATATCATAGAAAGATGCTTTTCAAAACAGCATGACCGGCTTGATGTCTAGTGCACAGTGTCACACTGCACAGATCAACACCTTTGTGGTTTTGCAAGGAGGAAGCTCCTGAATTGCATCTTTCATTTTGCTGAGATCAAAGTAGAAATCTTAGAAAACATACAGACCAGATTAGTTATAAGCCCAGCTACCCAGTGGTCTGAGCTTCAAAAGTGCTATAGCTCAACATTGAGGCAACTATTCTTTTAACAAAGAAATCCTTAAAAAACAATTGAGAATATCGGACTCCTTGTGACGAGGAGATCTGCATGTGACGCACATCTCAAGAAGAGCCACCCACTGATATGCATTGATCAGAGAATTCAGTAACACATACTTAGAAATGTAATCTTCTCTGATGTCAAGATTGATGTAGCGATAGATGTGGACAAACAGTCGATTTGGCAGCCAGTGGAAGAACAATAATGCTTTGGCACCTGCCACTGACCATACACCTGCTTAGGCTGGACCAGTCTGTTCAGCATACATGTATGACTTATCAGCTACAAAAGCACCTGAAGCAGATGTGTACATCAAAGTCATAACTATTGGCCACATTACAGTGGGGCCACCCAGAACTCTTGTGTGTTATTTGCTCTCCAACAGGATCACTTTACCTGCCAGTATTTGAACATGGTTGAGATGAGTGAGATTGTCAGATTTTCTGCGGGGTTTTTTTTTTTTGGGGGGGGGGTTGGTTGGTGGTGTTCAAGTGTTAGTAAACCCTCACATGTCATTCTCTTTTATCCACTTACTGTAGAAGTCATCAACTACAAATCCACATGTTTCCTGCCAGTTGCCAGTGTGCTATAGCATCACTGTGTATGCCAGTAGTTGAACGTGGTTCAGGTGAGTAAGATTGTCAGATTTTCTGGGTTTTCTAGAGTTTTGGTTGGTGGTGTTCAAGTGTTCTTCAAAGTGAAACTTGCTGGCTTGTGTTTGGTGTGTGTGAGTCTTGGAGGTAATAGACAATCACACATGTCATTCTCTTGTATCCACCTTCTGTAGAAGGTTTCAACTACAAATCTACTTGTTTTCTGCCCGTTGTCATGGCCAGTGTGCTCTTCAAAAGCATCACTCTGTATGCCAGTATATGAACATGGTTCAGGTGAATAAGATTTATCATGAAACTTTGTTTCCATTACCATTATCTGAAACCTACTGTATTTTCAAACTTTGGACAATTTCATACTTTGCTTATAAAAATACACGCGGACAACTGCAGTCTGACCTATTTACCTCAAATTTGAGGTAAAAGGCAAATGATACAGAATACAAGGGGTATGCTACTGACAAATGGAATTGTCCTTGAATGAGGCATTTGCAACAGAACCTACATCTCTACAAATAGTGTACCTTGAATGCAACTGGTAGCTTAAAATTGAGTTTGTCCCCTAATATTTTAGCATTTTGCAAAAGTGAAGCTAGGTGGCAAAATTGTACGAGACATAATTTTGTATGAGTGTTGCTTCTTATAAACCACTTCCTATTATATTGTATTCAGGGAAACATGATGACTCTACAGCAGATGAAATTGCCCGCTGGATGCCGACATTGCCACCGTCTCTCTGAACGAAGAACTCCAGAAGATCTACGAGTGAGGGCAAAAATGGAACGTCATGTTTGCCACAGAGAAATGCAAGGTGATGTCTCTGAGCAGAAGGTCCCCTTCTGAGCAGCCTCTAGAATTGATTATGGGAGGAAAGCCCCTGCAGAGAGTTCAGGAGCTGGACATACTTGGAGTGAGATTCTCTAGGAGTCTATGCTTCCAGTCTCATGTAAACTCCATCGCTGCTAGAGCTGGACAATGAGTGAGTACGCTTCGTAGAATCGCTCCATACCTGGATCCTCATAGTCGTGCTCAAGTCTATAAAGCCCTTGCCCGGAGCACAATGGAGTAAGCCCCTGTACCGTACATGTCTGCAAGTTCCATGTATTGCAAGAAGCTCAATGATGTGCAACATCACGCAATCAGTATCATCAAGGCCCCTCCAAAAGAAGTTAACATCAATCTCCTGCCGCACAGGAGAACTGTGGTAGGTCTCGGTCTGATGTACCGACTACATTCAGAGGGAGCTCCAGCGCTTCTTAAGACCATGCTACCGCCTTAAGACCATGCTACTATTGCGAGGCCTAATTGTCATATAGTTTGACCTAACAACCTATGTGTATGCGTGGACCTCCAAGAAGTGTGAAATGTACATAGAGACTCTTCTACGAAACTATGTCCAAAGCAACACTGATAAAAATCCTATCACTAAATACAGTGCTTGGGAAACAAAGTGAGTCCTTCACTACGGTGCAGAAAACAACTAAAAGTATCAGTGTTGTACAGGAACATAATCATGTTCAATTTGTATTTATATTCTTATCTTGCAAAAACGAGCTGTTCGAATAATTTCCAATGCTGGTTATCGAGATCATACCACACCATTATTTGCCAATCTTAAATTATTGCAATTTAATGATCTTTATTATCTCAATCTCGGTAAATTCATGTACAAATATATGAATAATTTGCTCCCTTTGTGTTTTAGCTCATGTTTTACTTTAACTTCAAATGTCCATTGTTATAAAACCAGGAGTATCGCAAAGAAAAATCTTCATGTTGGCTTCAATAGAACGACAGTGTTCAAAAATGGAATAGTTCAACGTGGCACGAGTATCTGGAATAGTCTAAGTATCCCTCTTAAAACGTCTTTAACTCTATCTACATTTACCAAAAAATTAAAAACACAACTTCTTACATTTTATTCGTATTCTGTTGATACTTTGTAAACATACAACAATAGCTTAATGATACTCCTGTTTGTCTGTTTGTCTGTCATTGTCCTTAGTTCGTACTTAATTGTCCGTCAGTCTGTAAGTGTCCAACGGGTCAGGGAACAAAAGCGATCGCTTCACCCTATCCCCGTGTTGTTATGTGGATTATGCATATATTTTTATTATGTTAATAACGGTGTTGTGTAAAATTATTTCGTAGTATATTTTGTATGCTTAAATTTTAACAACGATTTAATATTTCTAGTGACATAACTTTCAAATAAATGTTCAGCAATTAAATGATGATACAAGTACATGTTACGTGTAAAATACAACTGACAGTGTACACTGTTCATCTTTATGTTTGTATGAAAACATTCAGTTTTAGTTTGATGAAGCTGTAATTATGTACTGTACTAATTTCTTGTGGCATGCCCCAGATAGGTGTGGAGACACGCCGTCTCTAAAAGTCTGAAGGCTTTTGTGCATTCTAGAGTATGTTTTGGGGAACAGTTTTCCCTCAATATTTTAGCTGTAAATGTGTAGTGTTTATTTTATCCATCAAAATTCTTTATAAATGCTCAGTAACATATATCAGGGATAGTTTGTATGCACTTATCTTACTTTTAGATGAAATCGTCTTTTCCACCGTTTTTTTATTGTGTTAAAAAATTAGCTATATTGTCAATTGTTAAGGATTTTGATAGTGCATGTACCGTGACGACATCTATTAACGGATGGTGTAGACATTTTAATGTTGATCAATTATATGTAAAGCCATTGTCACATATAGGCCCTTTCCAATGTAGCAACCAACAAGTCATCAGCAAGCATGTTCAAAATTAAAACACTTTACAAAAAAACAATTTTAATTTGACTTTTAGTTTCTGGGGGGAGTGTTGTGAGCATTATGCATGCTGGTAGAGATGGGCTGACTATTAAACAATTAAATATACATAAGCTTTACTTATACTGTGAGTAATCCTTTACATGTCCAAAAGGTTCCACAATGATTAAGGATATCAGTAGGACTTATCTTACGTTTAGATGAAATTTGTCTTTTCCTCCGTTTCTGAAGTCTTAAGAAATTAGCTATATTGTCATTCTCAAACATTTTGATAGTACATGTACTAAAAAAGGTGACATCTTTCATGTAGACATTTGAATTATTTGTATTGTGGTCAATTGCCATTGTTACATATTTGCCATTTCCAATGTACCAACCAACAAGTCGTCAACCAAGCCTTTTCTTCAATAAAATACTTTATGAAAAATAAGTCAAATTTGTCTTCTATTTTTTTGTTTTTTGAACTGATTGTTTCTTTTGGGGGGGGGGGGTATTTGGAGTGTAATGAGACTAATCATCTGAGCACGTACTCATTTGAATAAATAATATGATCGTGTAAGTTTCACTATAACATAAATTATTGCAGTCATTTCGTTTAATTAACTAAAACAACGCCTTTGAATTTTTTCCGCATTATTTTTTTTAATTGAGGCGATGTTTTTTCTGTTTTATTGCATTATTATTTTATGTGCTGTTGTTGTTTTTGTTTATACATGTATATAGATTTAGGACTTGCAGACTGTACACCTATAAGATGATGCACTGCGACCCATTATGACATCATCATGGCTTCTGATTTGGTATCTACATGTATACTAAGAAAGGAACGACATCTGTCTGTTGCCCTTCCCCTGAAGCAGAACAAAAGCACTGATACAAGTCTACTGATTGGCGAATGGGGGCGCCATTCACTTTGTACGCTGTGTGCCGCTGTATTTTTTTGTGACACGCTGCCCTTTTGACCCCGTAAAAGCGTTTTACGCCTCCTCGCGCACATGCGCAGCCTAGCCGGTGCGCTCCGTACAACCGTTAAAGTTATGTACTGCCCTCTTTTGTGAGAATGAAGCGACGTAATGTACATTGCATTGTACGACGTTTCAAAGCCACATGTACATGTGCGTGCTATGCGTGTGGAAGTCCTGTGTATGTTTTAGAGCTCTCTGCCGCAACTTGCGCAAGGGTATTGTTTTTGCCGATCGACGCCGCGTCATCTGTGGGAACAATTTGACAAGCTGGGAACTTGGCACTGTTGAGGCAAATGTTTACGCTACCATTTAATGGGCAATTCAAGATTATATCTGTACGAATTGATTTGTTAGCAATTTTTGAAAAAAGAAAGGTCTTTTCAACGGAACTTCCGGTCTGATGACGTCATACGCCTAAAACTTCGCAGACGTCTTAAGTGGGTCAAGGTCATCATATACACCAATATTTAAGCGATTCCGACAAACTTCGCCACAGACATCTATTCAAAATACATTTTTGAAAAATTTTCCACCTGTCGCTAGAGGGCGCTCGAAGATTGCATGACGTCATTGGTAGATGATTTGAAGAATACTTTTAGCCAAGAGACTAACACCGTTTGAAAGCAAGTTCATATCTATTACCATTTTCAAAAAATAAGCCACTTCCGGTTTTGGTCTTTTTCGACCGGAAGCAAGGGTCACGTGATTTCACGCACACTGAATGAAATAAAGACCTCAACCCACTCTACCACTTGCCGGTGTGACAGGTAATTCTGTTCCCCCTGGTAAATGTGTCCCCCCGGACACATTTACCGGCTCGTGACCCGGTAAATGTGTCCGGGGGGACACTTTTACCTAGGTAAATTTGTCCCCCTCCAGGTAAAAATGTCCGGCCCCCTGCCCAACGGTGAAAGTGTCCCACTGGTAAATGTGTCCCCATGCAGTATGTACTGAGAGCAGCAGCGTGTCGCACGCGCCAGTACATGCTGCAAGATTTGAGGCAGTGATTATAACATGTGTACATAATTATGCGTCTCCCTCTACAATGGAAATTCGTCCAATAGGAAATTTCGTTACGCGCTATGATGGGAACACAGACCAATCAAAGGAGACGTTGTATCATACTATCAATGAGACGAGGGCCATCGCCACGCATCGCCGCTGTGTACGTGTTGACCTATCGCGGTAGAATCGCGATAGACTTCACAGTACTCCGAATCGAAACATTGTGTTCACGTATCACCTAATAAATGATAATAGACTAAATTAAATATTTTTTATATTCATGAAGGGCAAGCTAAAAGTCCAAAATGTATACCTTGAAGAGTGAATTCATCAAAACAATAACCTTCCGAGTTTCAAAAAGAGGGGGATTAAAAAACCTGGGGGACAGAATTACCTGGAGGGGACAGAATTACCTGGAGGGGGACAGAATTAACGGGCCAGGGAGGACACTTTTACCTAGGTAATTCTGTCCCCCCGGACACTTTTACCTTCCACACCGGTAACAGAATGCTGCGGACGCGTACGGTTGATTTCTTATGCATTTTTAAATATTAAAAGTGTCACAATTTAATTGCCTATAAATACACACCGGATGACGTCATCATGACGCCATCATTACACAATGTTGTTTGAATTAGGGTCTTTGCTTGGACAAAGATTGGTGCAAATGAATTACTAGCAAAGAGTCAAAAATGCCCTTTAAAAATCGACAATTTTTTCTAAATTTCTGTACAAAGTCTATGGGAAAAATTAAATATTCAAAAATCTATAATAAATTAGTCGATGACGTCACCATGACGTCAATCTTCGGGACACATCTTTTCTATAGGGACTATGCTTATGCAAACTTAGAATGATGTATGACAAAGATTAATGCCAAAAGTGGAGGCCAGAAAAAACGTGCACAAAGTCTATGGGGTTTAGGCAACAAAAAGAAGAAAGAAGATGAAGATGAAAAAAAAAAAAACTAGAGGTTTATGTCTGTTCAAACAACAGAACATATGGCTTTTTCGCATTGTTGATTGTTGTTGTTGATGTTGATTGTTGATTGTTGATGTTGATTGTTGATTGTTGATGTTGATTGTTGACGTTGATTGTTGATGTTGATTATTTATGTCGATTGTTGATGTTTCTTGATGTTGATTGTTGATGTTGGTTATTGATGTTGATTGTTGATGATGATTGTTGATGTTGCTTGTTAATTGTTGATAGTTGATAGTTGATTGTTAATTGTTGATTGTTGATGTTGATTGATGATTAGTTGATGCTGATTGTTGATGTTGATGTTGATTGTTAATGTTGATGATGTTGTTATTGGATGTTGATGTTGATTTTTGATATTGATTTTTGATGTTGATGATTGTTGATGTTGATTATTTACGTCGATTGTTGATGTTTCTTGATGTTGATTGTTGATGTTGGTTATTGATGTTGATTGTTGATGATGATTGTTGATGTTAATTGTTAATTGTTGATTTTGATGTTGATGTCGGTTGATGATTATTGATAGTTGATTGTTGATGTTGATTAATGATTGTTGATGTTGATTGTTGTTGATTTTTGGTGTTGATTGTTGATTTTGATTGTTGATTTTGATTTTTGATTTTGTATTGTTGATTAGTTGATGGTGATTCTTGATGTTGATGTTATGTTTATATGTGTTTTCAACTATCGCATTTTTGATGACGTCATGATGACGTCACATTCTTTTCAAAAGTTTGTGTATATACTTATTCCCTATCAAACCAAATACCAAAGAATTTTGAATTTTGCATGTTGCGTTCGTGTGATATGGCTTAAAGGTCCAACAAGTCATAAAATCATATAAAATCGCATGATGACGTCATTATGACGTCATTTCAATTTGTACCTATAACACATCCCGATCTACCTTCATACCGAGTTTCAACCCAATCAGACTTACCGTGCTGTATATATTGTGCTTTGAAATATGAACTTTAAAGATGACGTCACGTGACCCATGATGACGTCATTAAAACAATACTTGGCGGTGCTCATTATTCTTTTGTGGATTTAGCCTGTACCAAGTTTGAAGCGACTCAGATGAATAAAAGTGTTAAATTTTGTAATAAGAATAAAATTGTAATTTTTTTAAAAATCGTTAAAAATCTGTTGATGACGTCATCGTGACGTCATTTCATATTTTGTGCACTGGTACAATTATCTACATACCCACCAAGTTTCAGTACGATCAAACATTCCCTTATATGTGTTTTACAAATCGCATTTTTGATGACGTCATCATGACGTCACACATTTTTCAAAATTGTGTGCATATACCTATTGCTTAATAAACCTAATACAAAAAGAATTTTGAATTTAGCATATTGTGTTCGTGAGATATGGCTTAAAGGTCCAAAACGTCAAAAATCGATATAAAATCACACGATGACGTCATGATGACCTCAATTTTGATCTATAACACATCCCGGTCTACCAACATCAAGTCCAAACCCAATCCGACTTATAGTTCTTGAGATATAGAGTCCTAGAGTTTGCACATTTCAGATGACGTCACGTGGCCCATGATGACGTCATGATGACGTCACTTTTTCATGCACGAGTTCACTTCTTTTTTTTAAATGGCCGCCACTTGGACTCAGGAAATGACATACCAGC